CCAGCTTCGTCTTGCTTACGTGGCCTCTCAGGCCAACACTGCTGATGTTTTCACCAAGGCACTTCAGCCTTGTGATCATCAGCGTTTCTGTACTTTGTTAGGTCTTGTACCTACTGTGCCTCACTTGCTTACTTCTTGACTCTGCTTGTACTGTACCCTATATACATATACCTGCATGATTATACTTGCTAGGTTGTGTTCTCTGTATTGTTTGTTCTCCTTTATATAACTCTGCATGTGAACTGGCCTTGTGGCCATTTGCTTGTGCTCAGACTGCGTGGTGACTTTGTGATCCACCCTGAGCTTGCTTTGCCTTTCTTGACTGGTCTTGTGACCGCTTGTTCTCCCCCACTTTGCCTATGGGGGTGTGTCAAACTTATATGCTATAGGTTGTTTAGGCTGTAGTGGGGTAGTTCTTATAGGGTACAACACTTTTAGGTTTGCTACTTGTACCCACCTGCTTTCTAGTTCACTCATTCATTCTCTCACGTTCTAACATGCTGACCCGTCGCTGTTTCTCCGCACCGACACTACTCTGCCGCCGTTCTACATCCTGGTGTACATCGACGACTTGGTCTTTGCTACTTCTGACACTGAGGCACTCGCCCACGTGAAGTCGGAGCTGCAGAAGAGACACACGTGCACAGACCTGGGTGAGCTGCGCAGCTATCTTGGCTTGCAGATCACCCGGGACAGAGCACGCCGCACCATTGCCTTAACTCAGTCACACATGGTGCAGCAGGTCCTTCAGCGCTTCAACTTCACATGCTCCTCGCCTCAGGCCACTCCTCTATCTACTCGCCACTCGCTCTCAGCTCTGCCTTCGGATGAGTCTGTAAACCGAGTGGCCCGTACCCAGAGCTTGTCGGCTGCCTCATGTACCTGATGACCTGCACTCGACCTGACCTGGCATACCCTCTTAGCATCTTGGCACGCTATGTTGCTCCTCGGAGACACCGACCAGAGCACATGGATGCAGCGGAGAGGGTGTTGCGCTACCTGTGCAGTACGTCGGGCATGGGGCTCGTCCTTGGAGGACGGGCTCGAGTTCTCCTCACTGGTCACGCAGACGCTTCTTGGGTTGACGACTTGGCTACGCAGCGGTCGTCACAGGGTTACACCTTCAGCCTTGGTTCCGGCTCTGCTTCGTGACGGTCTACCCGCTCGTCTTCCGTTCTCAGCTCCTGTTGCGAGGCTGAGATCTACGCTGGGGCCATGGCTGCACAGGAGTTATGCTGGCTCACCTACTTGCTGACCGACTTGGGAGAGGCACCTCGTTCTCCTCCAGTTCTGTACGTCGACAACAAGGCCATGCTGGCCTTGTGTCAGGAGCACAGACTGGAGCACAGAACGAAGCACATTGCTCTGCGCTACTTCCTTGCTCGAGAGTTGCAGCAGCGCGGTCAACTTCGTCTTGCCTACGTGGCCTCTCAGGCCAACACTGCTGATGTTTTCACCAAGGCACTTCAGGCTTGTGATCATTAGCGTTTCTGTACTGTGTTAGGCCTTGTACCCACTGTGCCTCACTTGTTGACTTCTTGACTCTGCTTGTATTGTACTCTATATACTTATACCTGCATGCTTACACTTACTAGGTTGTGTTCACTGTATTATTTGCTTTCCTTTATATAACTCTGCATGTGAACTGGCCTTGTGGCCCTTTGCTTGTGCTCAGACTGCGTGGTGACGTCGTGATCCACCCTGAGCTTGTCTTGCTTTGCTTGACTGGTCTTGTTACCTCTTGTTCTCCCCCACTTTGCCTATGGGGATGTGTCAAACATATATGATATAGCCTGTATAGGCTGTAGTGGGGTAGACACTATGGGGTACAGCTTTTCTAGGTTTTCATACTTGTACCTATCTCCTTTTCTAGTCGACATTTTTCACATATTTTTCCAATTCTACTACGGTACTAAATCCTACTGATAATTTACCGCAACATTCTCTGACCTTCTCTAGCATCCTATGCATTCTTTTCTTCCTAGCATCCTAGGCATCACCATCAACAGTGGCGGAGCCATCTTGGTCGGCCTCCCCGTCCGACTCTGGCTCCTCTATGTTGTTGCAGCATAATCCATCTCGTCGTGAAGTTCTACTTCACCCTTGACGGCGTCCTGCCGGTGTTGCATGCAGAGATTGTCCTGTGACCCATCCAGGGCGTTGCTGATGCCACAAGTGAGAAACGAGCGCTGAATCATCTCCTTGGGCACGGCCTTCCAGGCCTTGCAGTTCCACTTGAGCGTCAGCTCTGGAGGTGGCTTGCGGATGTTGCCTGCCACACATGGAGACACTACAGCAATCAAAACAGGGTGGAAACAGTCAAGAGCAGACACATCGTACACGTAGGGATTGATCTTACCTCTTTCGGTCAGGCAGTCAACCCCCTCGCTCTCGAACCACTCTTGGTACAGTTGGCGGACTACTGCTTTGAATGAGCGGTTCACCGCGACGTCAAGAGGCTGGATCTTTTAGGTGCAGCCAGCTGGTATGACGGCGGGGACGATGTTCAGCTCCCCGAATTTCGCCTTCACAGCATCAGTGAGGTGCCCGCGATAGGAGTCAAGAACCAACATCACTTTCCTGCTGCGTACTCCGAACCTGGGGTTGACATACGGGTTCACCGTCCCGTCGAGCCACGCGAGGATGCCGTCAGCGTCCATCCAACCGTTGGGATGTGCGGCGACCACAACATATGCACATCCGAACAAGGCGTACGGACAGATTAGCATCTGACATAAAAAAAAATCACATGTAAATGACACCGTCACTGCACAAGCAGCTCGGCTTACCGGAGGGGAAATCCCCCTTTGGGAATTGTCTTGCGCTTAAAGAACACCCAAGGCTTGAGCTTCTCGCCGCTGGCGGTGCAGGCGAGCATCAACGTCACGCGTTGCTGCAGATGGGCACGGAGCGGATCCCCACCTCCTCGACCGTGCGTTCAACTGGCATCTCGAGCCAGAGTGGCGTTTGATCGGCATTAATAATCCAGCGGTTGTCGATGCCGTACTGACGGCGGGAGTGTCGCACAAACTTCCAGAAGTTCTGCACCTGTGTCTCACACTCTGCAAGGGAAGGGTGGGAGAGACAAACAAAAGAAGAAAATTAGAATTTCGAAGGTCGAAAGCAGTCATAAACGAGAGCGACAGCACAAACACCGACTCACCAGACGACAACTTCTGGCTGATTCTGGTCTTTGCTCGGGTAGTGAGGTTCCAGCGCCGTCGAAAACGCTCAGTCCACCTCTGAGATCCAGCCCACTTTACATCAGGATGCAGGATCTTCATCACCTCGTGTGACCACTTCTGCAGTCGGCCGACAGACACGGCGAGAGACTTTTTCCGGTGGGCAAGAACACGTGAGTACACCTCGATCTCCATGTCACGGTACCACGACGCCCGACCACGCCCGTGAAGGCGCTTGCGAGCCCCATGCGCACCTTCCAGGTCACCCTTCCGCGACTTCCACTCTGACAGGGACTTTTGGGAGATACCAGTGTCGCGGGACATTCTCCGCACACTCATAGCTCCGGACTCCAACTTTGCAATCCACTGCAGCTTCTCCCGGGAAGTGTAGGAGTTGCGCTTGTGCTTTGAAGGCTTGCTCCTGGGGGACGGGGGGCGGGCATCACGATTCTTTTTGGAGGGGTGGGGCCATTTCTTATTCGGCGGGGGGAAACTAGGGACAGGCAGGTCCTCGGGAAGACCGTCGGCCGCCCACCACTCAACATCGTCTTCAGCACCAGTGGCGGATTCGTCGTACGGGCAGTCTTCCGCGTCTCCCCAGCGTGGCGACAGACCGGGGCCGTGTTCATCGTCGCCGCTGCGCTCGGGCTCGGAGATGTGGGCGTCGAAAGCTGAGTAACCGCGAGGGAGGAGCTGCAGAACGGGCTGACCGTTGACGACGACGATAGGCGGAGCGGGAGGAGCAGGAGGTGCTGGAGGAGCAGGAGGTGCAGGAGGAGCAGGAGGAGCAGGAGGCGCTGGAGGAGCAGGAGGCGCTGGGCGACTCTGCCACTGAGAGTAATCGCGAGTGTTGCCAACAGCAGGTCGACGGCTAAATAGGAAGTGAGTGCCTGGAAGGCCCGCCATGGCCTAGGCAGGCCGAGGGAAAACAAGAAAGCTGAAGAAAACGAAGAGAATGAGCCTCGTTTGAAACCCTCGCCCGAGACCCCTCCAACTTCGCGGCCCGGGTTCCTCTGCAGGGAAAGGGGGAAAACTGTCAAGATCCCCCTGTAGAGGAGCTGAGGTGGTGAGGTCAATGCCTCGGTGGAGTGGAATCTTGCCGAGGCTGCCAATTGCGTGGTTGTACAGAGTCGTTCCTGGCACTGCATGCGACCCTGATTGGGCAGTCGCAACCTAAACTGCGTGTGCGCTAGCATGGGCCAGATTCATGTTCGATGAATCTGGCCAGGCCAGCAAGGCATGATGGGCGTGATTCCACGCCTTGTTGGCCATTTCACGCACTTTTCATACATGGATACGAACGTACTAGATGTGGATTGAATCCCCTTTTGAAAAAGCTTAAATTTCATGTTAAAACAATACATTTCATTTTTGCCATTTTATAAACGCCGGCGCTTATAAATTTCCTCGATTATAAGCGCACCCCTAAAAAACCGTGTTTTTTTATACCCCCAGGGGCGCTACTATCCGGGGGCTGACGGTACAAGAAATCAGAGTTATGGAGCTGGGGGAACATGAGATACAAATCATCGTGCAACCATATACCCAGTCGGTGTTCAATTTGGGGGGTAATCTATGTGGGACATTACGGTAGTACCCAGTGCTGAAGAGATGGTGATGAGGCTGGGATAGCAGATGGCACGAGTGGACGTTGAGCATGGAGGATGGGAGAAGCGTTTGACTGCCAGGTACAGGTGGGTGAGGCAGTGGAGGACAAGACGGCATCACTCCAACCGCAAGTACGCCCGGTTTATTACCCCATCTTGCAGCTCCCTCCATTCGTATTCCAATCCAAACGCCTGCACGCTACAGAGCACACTACCGAGCACGCGGCCCCGTGATCGTCTCAGTGTGCCCTTGTTCCTCGTCTGTGACTCCACCAGCAGCCGCAGGCAAGCCACCAGCGTACCCCCGCCCCCGTGCTGCTTCCCCCTGGGTGGCACTGGATGGAGGGGGTTGCACTCTGGTGACAATCCCAGGCCCCCACAGGGGAGCCAACCCACCCGCCCCTCGTGCCGCACCCTGCTGCTGCTGCGCTTGTTCCTGTCTGTAGGCTGTCGGCGTCGCTTTACCACCAGCAGCAGCGGTGGCATGGGGATAGCTGGGATGAGCAGCAGGCCCGTGTGTGGCACTATAGCTGCTCCACGTGTACTCCTGTGTGCCACTCATACTCTGCTGCTCCGTGACGCTGGGACTGCTGAATGCACTGGCGTCAAGAGGAGGCATCGATCCGTGGAAGGACGAGGGCGTGGTGAGCCCACTGGGGGTCCCCTGCGTTCTGCTGCTGCTGCCCGCACCAGTGGACCCCGCGCCCAGCTGGTCTCGGATGCCGCGCAGTGCCGACACCACCTGCTCCATGTCGGGGCGCAGCGTGGGGTGCTCCGCGGTGCACCACAGCGCGATTCTTAGGAACGTGCTGAACGTCTCATCCACCCCCGCTACCATCTCCCCCACGCTCACCCCCCCTTCCCACCCCGTCGCCCTCACAGCAGCGCCATCCTCGCCAGCAGCGGCAGCAGCGGATGCGGTCTGCAGGGCATCCAGCAGGCGCGGGTCGACGACGGAGGAGAGGCCCTGAGGGCCGAAGGCGAGGTGCAGCACGACCTGGCTGAGAGGCACGTGCTGGATGAGCGCCGGCTGCCCCGTGGCCAGCTGCAGAAGCACCACCCCGAAGCTGTACACGTCACTGCTCTCCGTGAGCACGCCGGAATGCACGAAGTAGGGGTCGATGTAGCCCTGGGGGGAGGGGGGAGAGATGGTACGTGTGAGTGCAAAAGGTAATGGTCCATGTAGGCCTGGTGGGCGGGGCGAGGAGAACAGGGGAGGGGTTGGTGTGGTAACATGCAGCTCTGATGGGTGAGTTGAACGCGCAAAGTGTACGTCAATGTCGCTCCCTCACCGGCCTTCATCTCCTCACCTCCCCGCACCGCCCCCCCGTGTCCCCTCCCATCTCCCCTCGCCTCATCTCCTCTCATTTCCCCTCCTCTTTCCTCGTCTCACCCGGCTGCCCATGATCTCGTCGGGCACGAGCTCGCCTCGCTCCGGCATGGACTTGGAGATGCCAAAGTCCGCCACCTTCGCCTCCACCGCTGCCGTCAGTAGGATGTTCGCCGGCTGCCATGCGAGCAGGGGGGGGTTGGGGGTGGAGGGTAGAGCAGCATCGAGTGAGCCTCCTCAAATGCATTCAGTGGGATCGGACAAGCGATAGCACAAAGCTTGGTGTACTTGATGATGGCATGCACGATGGCATGCACGATGGCGTGCACGATGGCATGCACGCTGGCATGCACGATGGCATGCACGATGGCATGCACGATGGCATGCACGATGGCATGCACGATGGCATGCACGATGGCATGCACGATGGCATGCACGATGGCATGCACGATGGCATGCACGATGGCATGCATGATGGCATGCACGACGGCATGCACGATGGCATGCACGATGGCATGCACGATGGCATGCACGATGGCATGCACGCTGGCATGCACGATGGCGTGCACGATGGCATGCACGCTGGCATGCACGATGGCGTGCACGATGGCATGCACGACGGCATGCACGAGGCTGGAGTGGTCGTCGAACCTTCGAACCGATGGCAGAATCTACTGGGAGGAGGCGTGTGGAAAAAGGTTAAACGAAAGTGTGAAGGCGACTATGGATAGGAGCTACGGCATGGGAAAGGAGAGGAAACTTGGGAGAAAACAATGTTGGATGCGGAAGGAGAAGAAGGATGAGGTTGACGAAGGAGGATCAGGGTTCGGGCCGGGGCATGTTCGAGAAAGAACCAAATTTAGACTTCAGGAGTGTTCGAGGAACTTCGGAATGTTGCGTGTGCGATTTGGGATGGAATGAGGCACGAGCGTGATAACTAGCCAAACATGTATAGTTACGAAATCGCATTCTGTTTTAGTCTGATGACGAAACTGTATTCGTATGGAAAATACAGCTTCTGAGTTTATTGAGATTTTTAAGTCTGTTGAAGTGCGTATTGCACGCTTCAAGCAGAGCAGCACATTTTATAATAGAATTTTGTGATCGTGAAAAACACGATAAACATTATCTGGAGGCTATTTCCCACCTTGATGTCGCCGTGCACGATGGCGGGTCGCATCTCGCGGTGCAGGTAGTGCAGCGCACTCGCCGCGTTCAGCGCAATGCGCATCCGCTCCCGCCACGTCAGCATGCGACTCATCTTGCCTGTCGCCACGTCAGCAGAACCAGCAGGTTGCGTGGGATAGGATGAAATGGGAAGGGGATGGACGTAGAGAGAAATGAGAGGATGAAAAACGTGTCGTCAAGGATGGCACATGCAAGAGGAGGGGGGAGAGGTGCGGGAAGGGGCACTTGGCACTGCACAACATGTAAGCCAAGAGCATAGATGCTCACGAGTACATGCAAACCGAGCCTCTACGGTGCCTCCTCAATTCTCAATCCTCGTAACGTCCACTGCAAGCAACACCCTTGATCCACACATCCAACCGCACACAACCGCACTACATCGAATATCAACCCACCTTTGATCCAGGCGTCCAGCGCCCCCCCCTCCATGAATTCGAACACCAGCAGCTGCTCGTCCTTCTCCACACAGAAGCCCGTGAGCTTCACCAGGTTGCCGTGCGACACGGCCGTCAGCAGCTCGATCTCGTTCTTGAAGTCCGTCCCGCCGTGCCGGTGCTTCTCCGTCGCCTTCTTTATCGCCACCTCCTCACCGTTCAGCTCCCCGTGGTACACCTGAGGGGGACCCGGGGGGAGGGGAATGCAAGGGGGAGTGGGTGCCTGCCTCCACCGCGCCTGCTTCACCGTTTCATTGTTCAACACCCCCAGGGACACCTGAGCTGGACATGGGGAGGAGGGGAAGGCGAGGGGGAGTGGGTAAGGGCCTCCACCGCGCGTGCTTCACTGTCTCACCGTTCAGCACCCAGAGGTACACCTGGTTCGCAACGAGGGGGGGGCTGCGGGGGTTGGGGAAGACGAGGGGGCGGATGAAGGGGTTGAAGGCGATGTGACTTTTGAGTCGACTCAACGATGGGGCGGATGAAGGGGTTGAAGGCGATGTGACTTTTGAGTCGACTCAACGATGGGGCGGATGAAGGGGTTGAAGGCGATGTGACTTTTGAGTCGACTCAACGATGGGGCGGATGAAGGGGTTGAAGGCGATGTGACTTTTGAGTCGACTCAAAAGACGAGGGGGCGGATGAAGGGGTTGACGGCACTGTATTGCCTTGCTTATTGCCACCGCCTCGCCATTCAGCACACCCAGGTACACGTGGCCATACATGGGGGGAAACAAGGGGAGAAAGGGGGAAGGGGAGGAGTGGGGGAAGGACGCGGTGCCGCTGTGCCGCCTTGCTGACTGCCAGTGGGTAGGCTGAGAGGATGCTGTGGTGCAGCCAGCGTGTGGTGCAGCCAGCGTGTGGCGCTCAGGGGAGCGTGAGGCCGTGTTGAATCCTTACTGGCACTACCACCACTACGAGAATGCCCTGCTGCACCTGGGTTGCTGCACCTGGGTTGCTGCACCTGGGTTGCAGCCATCCCTTGCCATACCCACCCTCCCCCAGCCATACCTTGCCGAATCCGCCTTCCCCCAGCCGTACCTTGCCGAATCCGCCCTCCCCCAGCCATACCTTGCCGAATCCGCCCTCCCCCAGCCATACCTTGCCGAATCCGCCCTCCCCCAGCACGCGCTGTTCGTTGAATCCGTCAGTGGCGTCGTGCAGCTGCTGCAGCGAGTAGCGCCACGCGTGCTGCAGGCTGATGCCCTCCAGCAACGAGTAGTCCGCGCTGCTCCACCCTGGTGTCCGGGAGAGCATGGATGGGGGAGCATGGATGGCGGATGAAAGAGAGGGATGGAGGGGGGCGAGGTCAACGGGTGTGCTGCAGGGCAGGCTCATTCCCTTCTGCAGGCTGCAACGAGTAGTCCGCACTGCTCCACCCTGCCAGGGGGGCGATGAGTGTGGGAGGGTGGTGAATGGGGAAACGTGGATGACAAGGGAAGGGAGAGCGAGTGTAGGGAGGGATGGAGAGGGGAGGTGTCGAACAGAGGAGGGCGGTGAATGGGGGAGGGCGGCTATTTATGCAACGAGATCACCCAAGGCTCTTGTGTAGCCGTACTAGCTCTGCTGCTTCCTGCCTCCTGCCTCCTGCCTCCTGCCTCCTGCCTCCTGCCTCCTGCCTCCTGCCAGCCTCCTCCCCTGGCGAACAGTGTGGAGGACAGCGATGTGCGATGAGGCTCAAATGAGCACAACCGTTGAGTTGCACACAAGGGCTACCCACATATATACACAGATAACGGGGGAGCATGGACGAGGCAATGAGGTGATGACCTCCAAGTCCTCATTTGCAGCCGTGCCTGGTCATGAGCTCACCAGCTGCTGTGCCTTGCTCACTTGCAGTTTGTCACTCCCCTTCTGACAAGCAGATTTTCCTCCCCTGCGAATCAACTCTTCCTCTCTCTTCTCTCACCCCTTCCCACCCATGCTGCTGTCCCTTGCCTTCCCACAGCACTTTCCCCACCTCCAGAATCCCCATGCTCTCATCTTGCTTCTCCCACCTCGCCCGCTCACCTCGCTTCTCCCGCCTCACCTCGCTTCTCCCGGCTCACCTCGCTTCTCCCGCCTCACCTCGCTTCTCCCAGGGCCGAAAGAGCAGCACGAGCACGAGGGTGATGACGAGGGTGGCGCAGCAGATGGCGATGGCCGCGATGGCGCCCGTGCCCAGCGCTGACGAGGACTGCTCGGGGGGCTTGTACGCTGCACGGTGGTGCATTGAGGGAGGGGAGGGCGGGGGGAAGCGTGGGGAGCGGAGGAACGGTGATGAAGACAGTAGGGAGGAAACATGGAGGAAACATGGAGGAAAGCGGGAGGAAATAGGGAAAGTATTGTTTAAGGAAGTGTCTGTGTGACCTTGGAGGTGCTCCACCGCATGGAACACATGCACACACCTGCCAACCCCACTCACAACCTCCGTGCCTCCCACCCACCCCATCACTTTCACCACATCACTCCCAATCCCCCCCACACCTCTTGCCCCCACACCAGGGCTCACAACGGCAGGGTGGATATTTCTTCAACACTCCTGATTGTTTTGTCTGATGTCCAGGTTTTGAAGGATGCGGTCAAAATGATCGTAGAATAATTCGGGCTTTTCAGATGGACCGTGGAAAACTCCCATGCCTCTTCCACCCTTCCCCTCACCCTCCCCCCCCTTCCCCTCCCCATCCTCCACCCATTTCCGCCCACCCTCTTCCCTCAATGACTCACGGGCGGGGCCGTAGAAGGCTTCGACGCGGTACGACCCGAACTCGTCCAGGTTGGCGCGCAGCAACGGGTCGCGCGTGGAGAGCGCCGCACGGATGGCGCGCGGCGTGTCGCTTGGGAGCCACGAGTCGTCCCCGGCGGGCGGGAAGAAGAGCACGGTGATGATGAGTGTGGACTCGTGGGTGGTGTGGTCTGAGGCGAATGTTGATGCCAGTGAGGCGAGCGATGCACGGCTGCTGATGTTTATCACTTGCACCTGTGGGGTGGGTAAGTGAGTGTGGGATGAGAAGAGGGATGACGAGCGTGGACTCGTGTGTGGTGTGGTCTGAGGCGACGCGAAACTTGATGCCAGGGACGCCAGTGACGCGCGGCTGCTGATGCCTAACACCTGCACCTGTGGGGTGCACGGGTTTAGAGTTTAGGGTTGGCGCTGCCTGCTACTGACTGGGCATGTTTGTATGGGCTCATTTGGGAACTTACGCTCATTGGCACTCACTGGAATTCGAGCCCAAGACCTTTGACTCTAGTACCACTTGTTGGCCCAGCCTGCTACCGACTGGGTTAAAGGACATGTTTGTATGCTGCATAGCACACCCACAACCAAACTAAACTGGGGCACGATCCCACTGCCCCACCAACAGGATGAGGGGTG